CGGGTGGCTACCGCTCTGAATAGACACTTGTTACAATTGGAGTCCAACAGGAGTCAGTTCTTGGACCGCTCTTATTTATTATCTATGTAAATGACCTGGTACGGAAACCTACAGTGAGTGACCGCTCTCATGAAATGTTGGCTGAAATTCTGAAATGCGTTTTCGATTAGTAAGGATTACTTGATCGCGGTTGGTATACTGATTACCTTAAGTCATACTCTTATAACATTTCGGACTCAGCAGGACGTCCGCTTTTAAATGAACTTCTTGTCAATCTCCTGTTGAAAGCGTGCTTGGTAAAAAATGACTACTTAAGAAGCGTGCATTTTTCCCGTTGATTTTCGATGGTCTTGGAAATTCAAATATATTTTATAGAAATCATAAATAAAAATATGCTTTCTTTTTGTCAATCAATAGAGAATCACGTCCTCTTTATATTTTTTAGTTAAGAAAGGAGTATAATTAGGTATAAAAAAGTTTCCTAATTGCCGAATAATTTGGAGCCTGATCATTTATTGCATTAGCGCTAAGTGATTTCACTCAACGAGGTGCATAAGTTCTGCGTAAAGAAAATCACACATTGTTATGCCATTAAAGAGATAGCATACAGAGTCCATAATATTTTGCAATGGGTGCCAACCGTGTTGTACATTTCATGAGGAGCAGCGGTAAACGGCCAGGCACGATGTTATGTGAATGGACATTTCGCGGTCTTAAAAAGGCTCATAATTATAAACTTATCCAACTCCCGAATAATGTTGAACCCTGCTTGCCGTTAAAAGTACATTTATGACTTCCAGTCTGCAAGCTGTATATTTTTTGCGTACAGAAAGCCATACATTCCCCTAGAGCATTGAGAGGAAACCATATGGGTTTCATAAAATTTAGCGGTGGAGATAAGTCATATTTTTAACTTTTAAGCCATACTGATAAATGCTGAGAAATGACGCTTTATGAAAGAGCATTTCCTGGTATGAAAAATCTCACAATCGGAAACTACTCAAAACCGTATTATACCCCATTTTTAGGATTATAAATCAGTGAAAGACGTTGTTTTCTACGGAATGAACAAAATAATGAATGGTTTATTGCATGTTTGCTATGAAATATCATAAAATTTAAAGGGCACCGAACATCAATAGGAAAAATTTATGCTACGGAAAAATGTTTTCTGCATGCAGACGGAAGAAAAGAAGCCGGCATTCTTTGGTAAATCATTTATAATAGAATTGTGCTGCACGCTAATTCATTTTACAACACAACTTACTTTATTTTTTAAAGCAACAACACATTTCGAAAACTTGACCGTCATTTTATGAGTTAGCCTACCTACTGTATTACGGAATCTTTGCGCATAAAGAACGAAATGACATAATCTGCCCTAAGCATAGTCGAAGTCCTTGCGGTTTAGGCATATTTAAAAACTCCAGTGGTATTATGCATACAATGCATTCGTTTTGTCTTTTCCACTGGTCTGGAAACACGATATTACAATGTTTCACACTTAACTCCCTATATTCTCTAATGGATGTCTTATCCGAAATTGGTGTCCTAGGACAAGTGTTCCTCACCACGTCACTGAAATTTCCTGTTATCCTCCGCAAATCGACGATGCAGGCGTTCCTCTTTGCAGTTTGTGTATATCTCATTCCTATCTGCTTTGATATAAAAGATTGTGTGTCATCTTGACGTAAACTGATCGGCCAGAACAAGTCGATCAAATTCCATTTTCCCCGAGGCAGGTTTTATCCTACAGTGTCAGTCTCCTCCGATTAAACGGGAACAGTTCCGAATGCCGCGTCGACATTAGCAACCGATGGCTTCACCGCAGTAATAGTATTTAAATGCGCATATAGGATGTGCTTACTTATACTTGGTACCGCTGCGAACATGCCTGATCAAGCCGGCCTCGATGATGCCCCAAAATATACCTCTCCTCGTCCGAAAACGCGATGCGGCAGATCTGGGCATTTTCTACGCCAAAGACGGATACCGAATATCGAAGGGCAAAGAACCACCTCCATATATTGATGAACTATGACGAGCCTGGAATTGAGTTAATCCACACTTCGATGCCTTCAATGCCGTAACGGTGCCGGATAGAGGGCTGTAACACTGAGCTCCTAACGTGGACGACAAAACTCATGCCTATACCAACTCAATCGTCTTCCGGGATGATAGGGATTATCATTGCAACTTTGTCACAGCGAGTGCGGACTGTTTTATTTGAGGCAAAGTCGGTGTTCTTTAATCTAAGGATGATCAGAAAGCGTGCAAATTCAACGCCGTCACCTTCACGTAGAGCCCTTGCGGAATTTAAGTCAATCTCTTAATTAATCGGAATTGGTGACTAGGTAAAACCCTGTCGGACACCAAACCGAATACCTTGAGGTTGGGCAAGATTGTTGCGAACCGGTACTCTCACAGTAGTGCAGTTATAATAGGCAGTGCTCATGATATGAGTGTTGGCGATACACATGGATGCCTAAGTCCAAGTCATAATGAGTCCAAATTGTCGAAACAAGCTTGTAGATTTCAGCAGGTATACTGTCCTGTCCGGATGCCCTGTTGTTGCGTAGGTTTTGTGTGGCATCGGCGACCTCTTCTTGAGAATGGAGATCGCGTGGCACTGCATAGGCTGGATAGAAGAAACTCTCCGCAAAAAGAGAACAAGTGCGAGATGGGTTGTATATCGAAGTTGAGACGGTGCTCGAAATGCTCACGCCAGCGCCCGAATTTGGCCTATTGTCAGAAAAAAAGTCGCCATCTGCGTCGCGAACTAAAATCACTTACTGTAGAGAGCCTACCATTAACCCGGTAGTTTTTGCTTGTCAACAACGTAAAAGGCGTGTTTCATGTAGGTCGCTATTTCAGCTCAACATTGGTTCCGTCAGCGCTGGGCGACGTTGTCGTCATCTTCCGAAGTTGGCAAAAGAAATATTCATTACGTGACCTGGCATCAGCAGTCTGACTGACGTTCTCAGTGACACCAACTGGGCTGGGGTCATAAAACATCTAAGCTTAATTTAAAAAACCAGTTGTCACAGACGCCACATGTGTTAAACTCCCAGTATACATTTCTGTCTACAAGTACAAATATAAGGCAGATGTATTTCTAACGTCTTATATGCACTTCGAGTCTCAGAACGTGGAATGCGATTATGGAACACCTACGCCGAGCATGCTCACTTATAAACTGCCTGAAATTAGCATCCCCAAATAATGACAAGATATATCTTAGAGTGAAACATCGCACCTTGTAAGATAACCGTTTCTCATCCATATGCATTGGAGAATTAGAGAATGAGCAGAAGCTCGAGAGCGATCTTGTCTTCTTCCCAAAACACAAGCTGAATTCCTCAAACTATGTTATTAGTAATGAATATGTGGCAGTATTTTGCTACAGCGTTTTACATGTGTCCTGGTTACCAACATTCTCAACTTAAACAAAATATTTTGAGTGTAAATATCATGCATTTCAAGTCAGTATCTGTTCCAACTCAACAATGACTCGCTAACACTGTGAGGACAGCACCTAACTACTGCAGATTTCAGTATTGACCAGGTCGTAAACAATGCTATATCGCTGTCACGATTGATGTTCATCTACAAATGGGATGTTGTCCCTGACGATGAGCTCAAGAATAAGTGTAAAAGGACTAGCGAAAAAGGTCGTGTTTTATCGATCGGTTTACCCATGTATGAACAGGGGAGTTTTTGTGAATTGTCGCATCGAGATGCATGGGCGAACTAGCTGGGTGTCTAGCGTCTAGGTGTAAATGAATGAAGGTTGTCTGCGTAAAGGTGAACATGTGCATTTAGACGATGCAGACAGCAGTCATCTGGATAGAGGTGGCTGTAGGTAGGTTGAGTTGTGGGGTGAACACATCTGAAAACTCGACCCCGCCTGACCTGAGCTAGCCTGTGCTAGCAGCAGTGACAACAACAGGTGATAGCACCGTGTCACGCATACAAACGCTGATAACATCTGAGGCGTGCACCTGGATTTTAGCCATCTCGAAAGACAGCTAGCGCTAACTAATTCAGCCGGGTAGGAATCCCGAGGGGATAAGTATATCGTTTAGATGGAAGGCATTTTAAGTATCTTTTTACATAATAATGAAGCCAAAGTCACTGACGAATCATGTATGACATATCACAGTATCGAAAGCACACAGCAATAATGTGCTGTGATTCATAATTTTCATTAAATAAATTTCCTCCTCGGTATGCAATATGCGTCTTGCTTTTGATGAAGTAGTGCTAATAACTGTTGGAATGCGGGATTTATTGTTTTTAAAGTATCAAACCATTTTTTTCGGAAAATGTCTGAGTTGCAGGCCGGGTAGGACTGTTGAGCAATGCAATTTGCATCATTTGCTTTTAACAAAAGGTGAGTAGCTGACAACGTGCTAAAAGCTCGCATATGTTGCATTTATAGCGCCAACTCCGAGTCCGCGTATCGGGGAGAATTTGCGCCTTACTGGCATAAACGACACGGTGGGGAAACTGCAACACATTTAGTCCTCCGCGTACTACATGAAACAATAATAAGTGATTGCTTCATCGTATCTCAGTCCGTTGAAGCACACTTCTTTAGATTGTCGTGCAACTCACAGTACCCCTGATGAAAATTCATCTTCTTCACACAGTAATCAAAATTACTTAGAATTTTTATTAACTTTCATTCGCCAATAGCTGCTTAATATTTGCGTACAGAAACCATGCAGAAAAGACCCCTTTGAGCATAGGCAGTAAGTGGTTACTGAATATAGACTAAATGGATAACGCTACAAGTTGTGTAGATTAGCTGTCATATTTATTTAGTTCCCTTTCAATTTTTTCATAAAATATTTTTAACGCAGTAGAAAAAATGCGCACGTCTGTGTGAGATGATCGCAGGATTTCCAAAAATATCAAACATTGTAGAATTTTACGCGGTCACAGGTACGAAATTGCACCTGCTGTTCAGTCACAAACAAGGCAAAGAAATAAATACTTCAGATGATCACAGAGCCAAGTATCCGCGAATACGGGAAGTTCTCCACCACTTGTAGTTGGGTTCCGTTCACGCTGATTTGCAGCGGCGCGTTGGGGGCTGTGGCTGAGTTGGGTGGCGGTTGGTGCATCACCACTGTCTTCTGTGTGTTAATGACCAGACATAAGTTCTCGCAGGCGTCGGAGAACAGGTCCATGCCCCGTTGCATCTCCTTATCCGAGGTGGTGTTCAGGGCGCAGTCGTCGGCGAAGAGGAGTTCGTGAACGGTGACCGTCCGTCCTGTAGGCGATGCGGATCCCAGAGCGTTCGTCGCGGTTGGCGTGAATCAGCATGACAGAGAACATAAGACTGAAGAGGGTGGGCGCCAGTACGCAGCCCTGCTTCACTCAGTTGGTCACTGCGAATGCCTCTGAGACAGCTTCGTTGTCCGTGTCTAGCGCCATCATACCGTCGTGCAGCTGATGCAACGTCTGAGTGAATCGCTCCGGACAGCCGAATTTCTGCATGATCTTCCACAATCCTTCACGATTCACCTTGTCGAAGGCTTTCGTCAGGTCCACGAAGGTAGAGTACAGGTGGGTCCGCATCTCCTGACACTTCTCCTGAAGTTGGCGGGCTGCAAAGATCATATCCGTGGTCCCTCGATGACGACGGAAGCCGCATTGGCTCTCCGGCAGTAGACTCTGCTCGAGATGGTTATTGAGGCGGTTGAGGAGGATGCGGTCTAAGATCTTCTCGGCGATGTTCAGCAAGGAGATGCCGCGGTGTTTGTCGCAGACTTGGCGATTCCCTTTGCGCTTGTAGAGATGCACGATAGTTGCATCTTTGAAATCTTGCGGGAGTTCACCTTCACCCCACTTCTCTTTGAAGAGATATATATGTATATATTTATTCAGGATTAGGCGCACACTGGTTCATTGGCGTTCCGAAGCAAAAAGCTTCGTATGGGCTGTAGGGGTCTCGACCAGGCAACCACCTACAAAATCCTACGTTATAGTTGTGATGTTGTCTATTTTGGCCAGACTGGAAAATCTGTATCAACCCGTATACATAAGCATCAATTAGCGGTGAAGAGACGCGACCATCTCGCCCAGGTGGCCATACGCACACTGGACAATGGGCACAAATTTTCACGGGAAAATACTTGCATCGTTGGCGCCTACCCAACAATGAAAGGCCGCTAATTCCTGGAGGCAATTTTTCAACTGGCATATCGATTTAGATGCCGCATACAAAATCTTTAAGGACAGATTCAAACTGAATCAACAAATAAAGAGATTATAACCTTAAACAATCATGGAATCACTTTGTCAGACTCAGTTAAGAAGTTAAGTGTTTTTGCACACCCGCTGTCTGAAGACGAGCAGGGGAACCAGTCTCGAAAATTTACACAATTATATTTGCTGTTTCCCAAAGTACTTCACCTTCCTTATCTTCAAATTGTCTCAATTCCTGGCGTGTGCGAAATTTCCTATCAGTTTGAATCTACATTGTGCGACAAATGCAATACCTATGAGAATAGGCATACACGCTGCGGTATAAAACGCAGTTTGCTGAAAGTCAAAAAATCAAGCTCAAAGAAAAAGAAGAGAAAGAAGAAGAAAAGAAAAGGGAAAGAAAAGAATAAGAAGAAGAATAAGAAAAAAAACACGGAAGAAGAAGAAGAAGAGGAGAAAGAAGAAGAAGAAAAATAATAATAATAATAAGAAGAAGACAAGGAAGAAAAAGCAGAATAAGAAGAAGAAGAAGAATAGAGAGGAAGAAGAAAAAGAAGAAGAAGAAGAAGAAGAAGAAGCAGAAGAAGAAGAAGACGGAAGATGATGAAAGGCATTATGCTCTTCATAGGAAAAAAAACGGGCATATATTAGACATACGACTGACTCTTTCTGGATGGATAACACTAGGCTCCCCAGAACAAATCTGTGGCAGACTGGCATGATAAATGAAAACGGTCATTAGCTGCATAGAGCAAGATGAGGAGACGGGTCCTGTGAGAGCGGTTTAGCAGCGGTATGGTCACACAATCTACAAAGAGGTTTTTGAACTGATGCCACAGCAAAATACTCACAAACTAGACCTGCATGTAAACGACATTTGATTTAACGGGTTAGGTGGAGAAATAGAATGCGCAACACATTTTTTGCCCTAAATGATCCTCTAAATTCCTCAGTCACTTTTTTTATACTTCAATGACCCTTATTTTATGCATACTCCGAATAAGAACAACTGAACAGCATATATGTTAAAGAACACAGACAACGGCGGCCACATCCGGGTAGTCGGAAGCGTTCATGGTATATAAGGTTGTTTCTATCCGCAAACGGGTCCTGCTCTTAACCACGAAGACGTTTTATGGGGTAATGTATACGAATGAAACTTTGCTGCTTTCCAGAAAATCGTTATTTTCAATAGGTTCTTCGATACAACTTGACAGCACCATTTATTTGAATGAACTTAAGATAAATATTTTTACTTTTATCCTTTATGGGAAAGACTTTTGCGAAATCTAATTAATAGGTTAGAAGGAGAACTGAACGAAATTGAAATACACGTTACGGAATAACAATAAAAACAAGCCATCAAACGATTTCGTTATTTATGGAAAAAAGGAAAATGCCTAACTGGATTGAACCATAATATCTGCTTGTTTGATCTCAACCTACTTATTCAAACAGATCTGGGTAGTCTTCATTTAACCTTGACGACAATCTTTGCACCCAATTTTTTCAACACCCAAAAATATCTTTAAAATCAGCTAAAGCAATTACCAGTCAATCCTCGCGTGGGAAGTTTTAAGAGCAGGCCTTTTATCACTGTATGTAAACCAGCAAAACGTGTCTTAGTTGACCGCCTAAAGCGCTGCAAATCAAAATTGGCTGAACCCTGGTCGGAGTGTGCTATTTATAACCAGCCCAATATACAGTACCTGTGCTAACTCATGAAATGTCACGAATTAACACAGGTTAACGCCTTTAACGCAAAATCGGTAAACACTACGGCTCCCAAAGTCTGATAGCGGAAAATAAACGATGTGCCAAAGAAATAAAGCAAAGTTTGGTTAAGAAAATATTATTTACTGAGATAAAAATAAATAATTTTCGACAAAAGGCACATTTTCGAGAAACGCCTATATTACAACCAAGTTAATAAAGGCTACGTATGAGGACGTATAAAGGAGGAGGTCGCATAAAAGGTCAAAAATAATTAAGGACAGAAACAGATACAAAAAATTAGTACTTTGTAGATTGTCCATTCGAATTAATAACAGCAGAAAGTCTGTCCGACATAGACATGACAAGGTTATCTATGGTGGATTGTAAAATGTAATTATTGAGTATGAAATCCAATTTTTCCTGCATTGAAAGAGTCTTCTTAGCTTTGTGCCAATTTCTTTTGACTATTCCAAAATGATTTTCGATAGGATTGAGGTCGGGACTGTTGGCCGGGATGAAAATGGATTGGAGGCCAATTGCGGAGAGCGTGGTTGTTGTCTAAAATGTTAGATTATGTTTGCAAGCGGCATCAAATTCGTACCTCTTTAGAGCGGTGGACAGGTGCATTGTCCTGCAAAATTACAGTATCCATTCGGCGCCGACTTATGCCGTTGTAGCCGAAAGCATCCTTGACAATTGCAATGAACACCTTGCTGTTGATGGTGTCGGATGTTGACCGCCAGACAGGCCGCTCACCGAATTTAATCGCCATCCAAACCATCATCCGCCGACAGTTCTTGAATGTTGCCGTCGGTGTAGTATGTTCTCTTGGGAAGTTCTTTCCACATATGACAGTTTGGAGCGACTTCGTAGGCTTGTCTAAAAATAGAACCTCATCGCAGAAGAAAATGCTCTTCCAAAATGAAGATCTGTATTCAATATAATTCTTAGCAAATAAAAGCCGTTCTCTAATTAGTTTTCTACTTAAATATGGCTTAATCATGGCCTTCCGCCGCTGCAGTTCAAATTCCTTCATCCTTTTTCTAATGATGTTCATAGAAAACATCGGCAGATGTTCCCGCTGAATGGCCTCAATGGGCATGTAATGAAACTTTTTTAATGTACGACGAATAAAATCGTCGTCTTGCTTACTTGTGGACCGTTTTGGTCCCCCTATCTTATTTCTAGGAACAGTTTTATCATTAATAATGCGCCACAGAGTGACCTTGCTAATATTGAAAATATTAGCTAACGACTCACGCGGGATTCCTTCCGCCGCTAATTTTCGAATGCGCTGGAAGTCAACTTCGGATAAGTATTGTTTAGACATAGTTATCGTTTGGCGTGGCAGAGCAAAGTGACGGCATGTCGCGCGAACTCAATATATATTCGTTTACGACACGCATTTTCAGTCTGGTAAAACAATCACACTGATAAACTTTTTTATTTCGGTATTTTGAAACATAAAACTTTACGAATTTGTAAAATAGAATTTTTAGATAAAGAATCGCACGTTATTTCCTGAACACAATAAGAAATAATTTATCTGCATTTCCCTGATTTTGTTGATATTGAAATTTAATTTTTTCTTTTTGTTCGAAAGTTTATCAAAAAATTTCGTCCTTTTATTAATCTTCTTAAACAGATTAATAAGGTTACACAAAGAATTTCCATCCGAAAGCTTTAATAGCGTAGGAAACTGCTTGAATATCAGGAATCCTCCGATTTCGCCTTAATCCGGCCCGTTTTCTATTTAATATACAGATCCGTATCAAACTTTCCTTCAGAAAACGGTCTTTTCGTCCTTATTTCAACCAAATAAACACAAATAACGACACCAAAAATACACTACATTGTCCACTATAATTTTGACCTCGGCATTTCATGAGTTAGCACAGGTACTGTAT